GGGGGGGGGGGGTGTGTGGAGAGGGAGGGGGAGGGGTTCCACAGGGGACCAGCTGCCATCATTCTTAGGCCGCTGTGTTCTCTCACTGTAGGGAGCTCGCTAAAAATACCCTGCGATTTCTCCTTCCAGGGGAGCACCTCTTTAATTGAGCCCTGGCTTTAATGCGCATGCATCCATTATGCCCCTAGGATTCTATTTTGCAAATGTTGGAAAATGTCTTTAAAATCATTCCTGAAATCCTGTGATTTTCACAGTCATGATCTCTTTTGTGAGATGATTTCTCCCTCTCTTCGCCCGCCCTCTTATTTTTGTTCGACTTGCAGTCGTGTTCTCAAAAAATAAAAATGGCTCTTAGAAGCACATCATTCACTGCACATCTTTCCCTAATTCTGCATTTGATGGAGAGGCCTCTTGTTTGTCGGTTTTAGGATGATTGGATTTGCAAGAGACGTGCTAAAGCATCCCTTGTTTTATTTTTTTCTTCTGTGAATTGTCTGCCCTAGTCCTTCGGGGATAAAGCAAAGAATATGCTACTCCAGGGCATAGTACATCTTTTTTGAAAAAAAATTCTGTCTGGTGTAAATTATACCTCAGGACATTAATTTCAAAATCTCAAAGGACAGTGTTTTATGAAATAGAATATATCATCACTTAAGTTATTTGATTTGTTAAAGTACCTGATAGAAATTTCCTGCGGCAAACACTAGTCTGTGTTCCTGTTTGTGCCTGCAAGCTGTGCCGACTGTCCCTCGCCCACTCAGCTCCTGGCTTTCTGCTCAGCAACACTGACAGATGACGGCTGAAAGTCAACAGATAGGTCATTTCTGTCACACTTCTTTATTCCTAGCATTTTGAATATGAATCCTTTTTAAAAATATTTTTATTGATTTTTAGAGAGAGGAAGGGCGAGAGCCAGAGGAACATCGATATGAGAGCAAAAAATATTGGTTGGCTGCCTTCTGCACATCCCCTACTGGGGATCAAGCCTGCAACCCGGGCATGTGCCCTGACGGGGAATCAAACTGTGACCTCCTGGTTCATAGGTTGATGCTCAACCAACTGAGCCATACCGGCCAGGGCTTGATTATGACTTCTTGATTATCAACTTCAAAAGTTTTAGAATAACTACCTTTCAGATTATTAAATTAATTTTAATTGCATAGGCTGAAAAGGTTTCCTAAAAAATCTATCTTCAACTCCAGGTTATCCAATACACGACAGCCACTGACCGGGACCTCAGGCTCCTCTTGGGATAGGCGTTGATGATTGGACGTAGAATTAGCATATTCTGGGTTTTCCCCTCAAAATAAGCATGTCTGTTAGTGCACCCGAGAGCTTCGTTATCGTCTGTCTTTCCTGACTGTGAATGTGGTTGTTGTTAATATTGTCATCACGCTTTTCCTAACACCATGTTTTGATGGTGTCGGCAATCAAAATCCTCTTGTCTGATGAGGCCCCGACGTCCTCAGCAGGAATTCCCAGTAAGACTAACAAAGCTAACAAAGCAGCTCCTCTTCTCCC